GGCGCCCTGTGCTCCCTGCTGTGCATGGTGGTGAGCAGAGAAGTTCTCTTGTTAGGTGACTCGGGACTGGTGTGTTTTGCCTGAGGTGTGTGATGGGATACATAGGAGCTGCTGGTTTGTTAGCAGGAAGGCTTGAGGCATATCAGTGAACTTGAAGAAATCACATTATGTTAGAGAAGGCAGATGTTTTATTTTTGAATAGTTTTGCAGGAGTTAGCGTATTTGATCATTAAGGTTTTTGTTTCAACAGAATTATACTTTAGCTTTAAAACTTGAGGATTCAGAAAATTTTTTTTTAAATCAGATTTAGAGTAGGTTACTTGTGTTATAAGAAAGTCTTGTTTCTACGTATTCTCGCTGATATAATCAATAAGTTCAAAATCAGTTTACAAAAACTCTTGTCACACAGTTTGAGTGTGTGACGCAGTTACTTATTACAGAAAGTACTACTTTCTGTGTTAGAAAATTCTTGGTTTTAACCTTGAGTTAAGCTAATAACTAGAAAAGTAGTTTATGCTTCTTACAAGCAGTTCAAATGTATAGAAATAGAGGAAAATGTGAAAGCCTCATTCTGCTCCTTGTTATACTAGTTTTGATGTGTATTTTTGCAAAATTTTTCTGTACACTTACAAACATGTGCAACATATATAAAAGTATATGTTTATATGTACACAGACAAACATACCAGTGTTTTTAAGAATATATGGCCTCTAGTTACTACATTTTCATTAACTGGAAAGTTTGGCAATACTTTATTACCAAACATAGTAAGTTCTTGTAATGCTTCCATTGAAAGTACAAGTTCACTGAATGATATGTGCACAGGTGAATTCGGTCCACTGTACTGACTTGCTCCTTGGAAGAAAAACTGACCAACCTAGACAGTGTCTTAAAAAGCAGAGACATGACTTTGCCAACAAAGGTCCATCTAGTCAAAGCTATGGTTTTTCCAGTAGTCATGTATGGATGTGAGAGTTGGACTATAAAAGAAAGCTGAACGCCGAAGAATTGATGCTTTTGAACTGTGGTGTTGGAGAAGACTCTTGAGAATCCCCTGGACAGCAAGGAGATCCAACCAGTCCATCCTAAAGGAGATCAGTCCTGACTATTCATTGAAAGGACTGATGCTGAAGCTGAAACTCCAATACTTTGGCCACCTGATGCGAAGAACTGACTCATTGGAAAAGACCCTGATGCTGGAAAAGATTGAAGGTGGAGGAGAAGGGGACGACAGAGGATGAGATGGTTGAATGGCATCCCCGACTCAATGTACATGGATTTGAGCAAGTTCCAGGAGTTGGTGATGAACAGGGAGGACTGGCGTGCTGCAGTCAACGGGGTGGCAAAGAGGCGGACACGACTGAGTGACTGAAGTGAACTGGCTGGCAGACAGAGGGGCTGACAAGGGCCCAGTTGGTAAATGAAGTCCCTCATTTGGTCTGTGAAGGAGTTCTCTGATGCTGGGAAAGTAGAAAGGAGCCATGTAAGTGTCTTGAGGATTTGAAGAGTTGGACGGGGAGGCAGGAGCTGTGGCTCTGCCCTGTCGTGCGGTGACTGTGGGACAGCTGGCCGTGCCCCAGACGGGAGCAGGGCCGGGTGGGCGCAGACGGGGCAGCTCACTTCCACCTTGGGCTCTTCTCCTGCGCTTGTCTATCCTCTCTTGTCCCCTTCCTTGGGAACAGTGTTTTTAAGTTTCTGTTGATTTTTATTTTAAGACTTTATACATTAAAACTTTATTATATACAACTCCCCCCTCCACCCCACCCCCCTGAATGAATAGTAGCCAGTTGTACCTGCTTTTCTGTGTATTTTCACTGAAAACAAAAGTTGGGAGTTACCCCGCAGAATTACTCCAGCAGCTCTGGCAGCCCCCACCTGCACCGCTCCTCGCTCCCGTAGCCCTGCAGCCCCCGTGTGTGGGCCCATCTGTCCCAGCCGGCCGCTCGGGGCGGTGGTGGCTGCCCCCGGCATGCCGCACAAGCATTGTTTTTCTAGGCCAGATCCTGAGAAATGGGATTGCCAGTTCACAGGGTGGATGGATGCACACGGAATTTTGTCATTACTACTTCCTTATTATTTTGTGTTCATGGACACTAACTCTTTCCTGTGGCAAGCTTGAATGTTAAGTAAAACCAGTCTCAAATTGCTCTGTCTGAGTCTTGGGTGGAACACTAGGTCTGGTAATAGTATTTTATTGTGAACTGCTGTCTGGTTTTCTGAACTTTGCCATCAGCTGTTTCAAGATTTGTACAACCTCTGGTGTGTAGATTCTTGTTGTTTGGTCACTCAGTCATGTCTGACTCTTTGCCACTCCATGGACTGCAGCACGCCAGGCTTTCCTGTCCTTCACCATCTCTCAGAGTTTGCTCAAACTCAAGTCCATGGAGTCAGTGATGCCATCCAACCATCTCATCCTTTGCCAACCTCTTCTCCTCCAGCCTTCAGTCTTTCCCAGTGTCAAGGTCTTTTCCAATGAGTCACCTCTTTGCATCAGGTGGGCAAAATATTGGAGCTTCAGCTTCAGCATCAGTCTTTCGAATGAATATTCAGGATTGACCTCCTTTAGGATGGACTGATTGGATCTCCTTGCAGTCCAAGGGACTCTCAAGAGTCTTCTCCAACACTACAGTTTGAAAGCATCAGCTCTTCGGCACTCAGCCTTTATGGTCCAACTCTAGATAAATCGCCGTTAAACACATAGTTTCTACTTCTGGCTACCACTCAGGATCTCGTACATTTTAAGGCATGAAATCAGACTTTCAGGTTCTGCTCTTTGATGGGGGTGTGTTCTCCTGAGGGTTCGGCGGGCTCTATGAATGGTGATCTCTATGCACTTGCGACTTCCCTTGGTAGCAGAGTGGCCAAGAGCACAAGCAGACAATCTGGTTTTTCATCCCCATTCTGTCACTGGTAGCTGCCGTGTAAATTTGGGATAGTAATAGTCCCAGTTTATAGATGTATTGTAAGAATTAACTCAGGGAGTATGTCTGACTAACAGCGCAGCACCTGCTGCACAGATAGCAGTTTATAGTCAGTGGTAGTTCAGTCTGGTGCTCAGTAGCTCAGTTGTGTCCAACTCTCTGTGACCCATAGACTGTAGCCCGCTAGGCCTCTCTGTCCATGGGATTCTCCAGGCAAGAATACTGGATTGGGTTGCCATGCCTGCCTCCAGGGGATCTTCCCGACCCAGGGATCGAACCCCCAACTCTTCCATCACCTGCATTGGCAGGCAGATTCTTTACCACTGGCACCACCTGGGAAGCCCAAATGGTAGTTACTCGTATCATTTTATACAAAAATGGTTGGATCCCATCACTGACTTGATGGACATGAGTTTGAGCAAACTCCGGGAGATGGTAAAGGACAGGGAAGCCTGAATCTCTGCTGCAGCCCGTGAGGTCACAGAGCTGGACCTGACTGGGCGACTGAAGAGCAACAGCACACAAGAACAGTGTATGGTTGAGTCGCGTTGCCCTCCTCGGGCCTCCGGGACCTGGTTCAGGGGAGGTTTATGACACGTGCATCGGCCAGCCCTCAGCCTCTGCCTTTCCTCACTTTCTGCTCCTCCGGATCTTTCACCTGAGAGACCTGGAAGAGACCTTGCCCTCATCGCCCCCCCAAGCCCCCTCCCCTCATGCCAGATCTAAATCTCTTGCAACCTAGTCTGGCTGGTCTGGCGAGCCCTCAGCTCTCCCCAGCCCCCACGCCTCTTGCCTCTGGGGGGGTGCAGTCCTTCTGGTGCTCCGGTTCCCCTCAGGTAGAAATGGCTCCCCTGCACCAACAGGACCTCCAGATACGAGCAGCACTGCCAGCATCCTGTCCTAAATCTCTGCTTCTGAAGCATCATCTTTCTCAACTCTTGAGCCTCTTCCTTAATTCTGAAAGGTTGCCATCTTTTTGGTTTTGTTCCAGAATGGGTTCAAGCTAAAATTTAATTTAGAAAAACTTGTTGCAGGCACGCCAGCCCACCCTTGGGATTCACGCAGATTAAAGGCTTCCCATCCTGCAGCGTGAAGGGGCAAGTCTTCTTGGGCGTGTGGGCGCAGAGAAGGTGGAGCTGTGTGGCCGTGTCAGATGTGGAGACGGTGGTCTCACCAGCCAGAATCTGGCTGCTCACAGCCCCGTGCCCTGGTTTGTGCTCGGGGACCAAGCCTGAGAGGTGGAATTGGTCCTCAGGGAAGCATCTTCTTGGGCACACACCCCAGAGTCATGTTTCCTGAGCAGCTGCTCTCAGCCGGAGGAGGGATGGGGCTTCGCTCTTAGTGTGTTACTGAGAGAAGTTGGTGTGGCCGTGTGGGGCCCTCCCCCACCCCCACGCCCCCAGCCTCCAGGCCCCAGGACAAAACTGCCATGCTCCAGTCTGTACTTCAGTCTGTCTTTGGGCCCCAGAGCAGTTTTCAGAATGTTCATGTGACCAGTGTGTTCTTTCTTGGAGGGGCGTGGAAGCATTTCTCAGAGAACTCCCTGCTCAAAACTGCTTTAGCCTTTTTTCTGCAGGGGTTGTTTTAATGACAAAGAAAGCTCTTTCTCAGCTATTTCTCAGTAGGGTTTTTTTTTTTTCCTACCTCTCCACTTATTTTCTCCAGTATACAGGCCCCATCGTGGAGAACTGTAATTATAATCCTCCTTTGGGAGACTCTGTGGAGAGGGGCCAATTAAGGAACATTGTGTGCCGGCTCCTTTGGGCCAAAAGGGGAAGAGAAAGGTGGGCGTCTGAGGCTCTGAGCCTGGAGGCCTACGGAGGGTGAGGGCGCTAAGGGATGAGCTTGAGGTTTCGGGCTCTATGGGCGCTCCTGAGGCCAGCGGGGAGGTGGGCAGGGGTTTCAGAGTGTCCTCAGGACGTGAGGGCTTGGGTCACACGCTTCCGTGGAAGGTTCCCCGGCACAGGGTGAAAGAGCCGCAGACAGAGTGGATATACAGTAAGAATACTAACTGGCTTTTGTGACATTTTACTTAGAGTTGTCAGGAGTCACTAAGTCGTGTGTGTGTTTTTCTCTTAGGTTCATTTTCCAGACACTGAGAGAGCAGAATGGCTAAATAAGGTAAGAGAAGAGTACACGAAACACCAGATGTCAGTGGGAATTGGCGGGTGAGACGCTGCCTCTCCATAGTTGGGGATTTGGGTGTGGGTGATATGTGAGCACGTCGGGGCCACGCAGGTGGCTTCTGCTCTCTAAACAGCTGGGACATTGCCATGCAAACTGTGCCTTTGACACAGGAAGCTGGTGATGGTCTCACAGCTGGACATTCGGCCCTGTGTCTCCTCACTTTGATGATAGTCGTAAGTGAAAATTATAGAGCATTCTTATGAAGAGGGGAATAACTCCCAAGAAATCTAGCCTTTTTAAAAAGGTTATGTTTCTAAATCATACTTAGAAGTAGATCTCTTTTATCTCTGTATTTTATATATCCTTAGAATTGTATAGTAAAAACTAATGTAGGTAATGATTACCCATAATATAATCACTGGAAATTAGTCCATCCTTAAAGACACTCATTAATGTTTGTTAAGAACAACACAGTTTTAGAAAGTTTTTAGCACTGAGTTGAAACTACAGGATTATCTGACTGTTTGTACATACCAAGTTGCTTCAGTCATGTCCAACTCTTTGACCCTATGGACTGTAACCCACCAGGCTCCTCTGTCCATGGGATTCTCCAGGCAAGAATATTTGAGTGGGTCGCTGTGCCCTACTAAAGGGGATCTTCCTGACCGAAGGATCGAACCCTCGTCTCCTGTGGCTCCTGCATTGCAGGCAGATTGTTTACTGATGAGCCACTGGGGAAGCCCCTTTCTGACTTTTTAGTAATGATTAAATGTGATGATATGCATAAGCAAAATATTTAACTAGAATAACTAATTCCTGCAACATACTGGTTGGTTAATCAATAATTTATTGTTATAATACATTTTTAAATTTTAGATGCTGTTTTTGCATAACAAAAAAGGACACCCCCCTCCACTTTCGCCTTTCAAAAATTCTGGTAAACTGTATAAGCATGATTTTTCATGATGATTTAGGACTGTACTATTTGTTTGAGTGAGTAAAAGTCGCTCAGTCATGTCCGAGTATTTGTGACCCCATAGACTACACAGTCCATGGCATTCTCCAGGCCAGAATACTGGAGTGGGTAGCCTTTCCCTTCTGCAGGGGATCTTCCCAACCCAGGGATCGAACCCAGGTCTCCCGCATTGCAGGCAGATTCTTTACCAGCTGAGCCATGTTTAACCTGAGCTTCTTCTCTTTTCCAGACTGTAAAACACATGTGGCCTTTTATTTGCCAGTTTATAGAGAAGTTGTTTCGAGAAACCATAGAGCCAGCCGTGCGGGGCGCACACACCCACCTCAGCACCTTCAGCTTCACGAGGGTGGACATGGGGCAGCAGGTTTGTTTCTCCTCAAGCTTTCTTACCTGTGCACCGCTGGAGAGAACGTTAAGCTGCGTCACATTGTTTTCTAGCCAAGCTATGTTCTGGAAGGCTGGCTGTGTGCGCAGGCCCTCCCCGGGTCTCCTGTCTCGGGGTCTCTCCGCCTCTGTCCACTGTGGTGTCTCTGCCAGTCCAGGTCCATCTGTGGGCCCCTCAGCCGCACGTTCTCCCACCACAGTTACCTTTGTACAGTTCCCACCGTCTGTCGTGCTGGAGAGGGGGTTTGCTGTGGAAACTCACTAACGATTGACACAAGCTGGAAGGCGCCCCCACCTCACCCGCATGTTTAAAAGCAGCACCTCGGGGCTCCAGCGCTGGGCTCGCAGCACCGCATTAGTGACACAGGTGGTGGGAAAGGTGGGCTTTGTTCTTGGCATCGAGTTATATACAGAGGACCGTCACTAATTCCAGCACTGCTGGAAGCCTCGGGGCCACCGTAACAGCAACTTTCCCTTTTTGTTTTTTTAAGTCAGTGTTTACAATAACTAGCATCAGTTGAAGGTAGCATTTTTTCTATTGAGGGATAATTGACACATGAGGTTATATTAATTTCAAGGTAACATTGTTTTTATGCCTAATAAGACTTCAGAGTTCAACAGGACTTTTCTTTAGTTTATTTTTTGGCCACACTGTGACCCTGCAGGATCCTAGCTCGCCAGCCAGGGGTCAGCGGCCGCAGAGCCGGACGACCATCTTCCCCACTCGCACGCCGAGTCCTAATGCCGGTGGTGCTTCAGGGGGCGGGGCCGAGGACCGTCATGCCGTCTGTGCCCCTGCCCCGGCTCTGACACTCCCAGGTGTCGATGCTGTTCCTCCTCCACGTCCGTCTTTGTGCAGAGACACAGGTGTGTGTGTCCTGCCCAGCTGTGTCATGCAGGCTGTTTGCTCTCTCGGCTGAGTGTCTGCAGCACGCTACCATTTTGGGTGCGGTCCCTGTTCAGCTCATGGGGCCAGCGCAGGACTCCGTGGGATACTGCCTCTCATTTCCACTTTACCTCAGTCTCCTAAAAGGAACACAGCAAGTGGGAATGCACACGTAGAAGCCAGAATGCCACATGAATATGAAGTGGGGGTTCCAAGGTTTTCTGTGAAGGGCGGATGGCGAATAGCATGTGTATTGATGCCTACATACGGTTTTCAGAGGCATGTCCTCCTGCCCTGCCCCCTTCTTTTCCAGCCCTTTAAAAGAACAGTCTCTCTTAGCCCACAGGCCGTGTCCTACAGTCAGGTAAGCTCACATTCGTGCAAATTTGGAATTCTTGCTCCAGCCGAGTTTGTCTCGGGAAGAATTACTTTCATGTTTGTGTGTGTGCTTTGAGCTTGTAATGCTGACAATGGGTAGGAATGTTGAGAGCAGTGCAGGTTTGGTAAGAGAGCTCAGTGTCACAGGGCGCTTGGACTTCTCGTAGGAATAGGGGACCCAGGCGTCTGATGCAGGGGCCAGAGGGGCACGGGAGCCTGAGCGGAGACCCTGCGACCTGGGATGGTGGCAGCGTGGGCCCGGAGTCTGTCTGCTCCTGCGGCCAGCTGGGGGGTCAGACTTCAGGACAGCCGCAGCGTCAGAGTGAGCGTGGGGGCCCGGTGGTACTTCAGCCTGAGTGTTTCATGTCCAGCTGTCATGCTGAGAACTTTCTTAGAAGGGGTCTCAAATCAGTAAATTGGGAAAAGATTCTGAAATGATGTTGAAATATAGTATTTATTATTGTCTGCCTTTTCTTTTTATAGTCATTTGATTCTCACCTTGTTGCCTGTATTATCTGTTGAAAATATAGTTAATATTTTTGATTCACTCAAAAAGTCCCATTTTTATGAGAATATTAAAAAATAGAAAGTTGTGACGTAAAGATAAAACAAGAAGAACTTCTGTTTTAGAAAGGGCATTACGGGTGGACTAGAGGGAATGGGTCCGAGTCTGCTGGAGGAGACAAGGACTGAGGGCCCTTGGGCGGGAGGGAAGCCGGGTCCCAGCCCCGAGCCCCTGCTGAGCTAGGCAGTGCTCCGTGACCTGCTGGTCCCGCGTCCTGGGGGCCCTCCTGAGTGTCTTACAGATGAGGGCGCTCAGGGCCAGAGGCCAGCGGCACACGGCGGGTGAGACGACAACGAAATGAAGCGGAGTGTCCCCGCCCGGGCCTGGGACCCAGGCTCGTTTTCTCGGCTGCTGGGTCACAGGGTTGGTGTTCTTTACCCTTCCTGTGTTTTAAAGAAGCCAATTCTTGTTTCAGCCCCTTAGGATCAATGGTGTTAAGGTGTATACTGAAAATGTCGACAAAAGGCAGATTATTTTGGACCTTCAGATTAGGTAAGTTTGTGTGTTTGTCATAGTTAATGATGTGTGATGTCACTTAGCTATGCCCATAAAGTAGAGAATATAATGAGCACATATCTTACTGCTATTTGATGGAATTGGACTAGCTTCTTGTTGAGGACCTAAACTTAGCTACTTCTGGTTTTAGTTCCTGATAGCTTAGATAACTGCCATTTGTAGAACATGTTTAAAGAAATTTAAGGCACTACAAGATAACTGCAGGCCCATATCACTTGTGAACATTGATGCCATAATCCTCAAGAAAATGCTCACAAACTGAATTCAGCAACATAGTGAAAGGATTATACATCATGACCAAGTAAGATTTATTTCCAGAATATAGGATGGTTCATTTTAAGTGATCAATGTAATACTCCAATGTTAACAAGAATGAAGGGGAAAATCACCTAATCATCTCAGTTGATGCCAAAAAAGCATTTGTTGAAATTCAGCACTTTCATGATAAAAACACTTAAGGCACAGACAGAAACAATGTCAGCATGATGGACTTGTTTATTGAACTTGGAATACTTGGCATGTATTCCCAGCAAGCAGCATGCTCAGTGGTGAAAAACTGAAACCTTTCCTCTGAGATCAGGAACTTGACAAGGACACCGCTTTCACCACTGTTGTTCAGCATGGTCCTGGAAGTTCTTTCAGAGCAATTAGGTATGAAAAAAACAAAATGCATACATTGTTGGAAAGGAAGTAGTAGTAAAGTAGAAGGATACAAAATCAATGCAAAAAAAAATGTATAGTTGCATTCTATACATTAACAATAAACAAGTCCAAAAAGGAAATTAAGAAAATTGCATTTAAAACAGAAGAATAAAATACTTAGAAATTAACTGAAGCAGTGAAAGACTTGTACAATGAACACTACATAACATTGATGTAAAAAATTAAAGAAGACGTAAATACATAGAGATGCAGCCCATGTTTGTGGTTTAGAAGACTTAATATTGTTAAAAGCCAACACTAAAAATAATCTATAGAATCAGTGCAATCATATATATGCATATAATCATATATATGGTGAAGGATTGAGATCCAGAATATATAAAGAACTGCTACAACTCAAAAACAACAACAAAAAACAAATAACCTGATTCAGAAATGAGCGAGGGACTTGAGTGGACATTTCTCCAGAGAAGACAGACTAGTGGACAAAGGCACATGAAAGGGTGCTCAGCGTCTCTGTTAAAACCACCGTGAGACATCGCCTCACACCCACCAGGGTAGCAGCCATCAAAACCAGAACGGATTAGTGAGAATGTGCAGAGATCAGAACCCCTGTACACTGATGGTGGGAATACAAAAGGTACGGTTGCTATAGAAACAGAACAGTACCTCCTTAAAAAAAAGAAATAACTGAATGACCCAGCACTTCTACTTCTGGGTACATGCCCAGAAGAACTGAAAACAAAATCCCAAAGGGATAATTGTATACTCCAGTTCATAGCAGCTTTCTTCACGATAGCTAAAACATGGAAGCAACCCAGGTGTTCACTGACTGTTGGACGGGTAAGAAGGCATATTATGTGCATACAGGGGAGCGTCCTTCAGGCTATACAGAGAAGGAATCCCGCAGTGGGCAGTGTCCAGCAAGCTACGGTGTGATGGACGGACAGTACAGACATCATGCTAAATGAAGTAGGACAGTCACAAGGAGACAGACTGTGTGTGACTCCTCCCATGTGAGACCTCAAGGAGTAGATCCACAGAGACAGCGAGCAGGATGCAGGCTGCTGAGGAGGAGGGGAGGAGGATGGAAGTCCCTGAGTGATGGGCGTAGAGTTTCAGTTTTGCAGGATGAAGAGAGTTCTGGAAATGATGGTGGTGATGGTTGCACAGCAGTCTGAATGTGCTTAATGCCACCGCCATGCACTTCAGAATGAGTGAGATGGTTGCTATGTATGTTTTACCACAATAAAAAATAATTGGGAAAAAATTGATTAGGGGTCTGCCAAGTGCTTTCCCTGGTGGTAACAGGCTTCTCTGGCTCTTGTCTTTGTCCTTCAAGAACCTGCTCACGGCTTCGTGAGGCCCCTTCCCAGCTGTGTGCCAGCTACTGACTGACACACCCAGCAGGGTTGGTTTTGTTTTGATTAAGGGTCATTTTTTTTTATCGTGTCATCTTTGAGTTTCTAAAGTGTATTAATGTAGTAAATGAACAGAGTCCGTACCAATTGCCTTTATTTTAGAAAGAAGCATAGAGTGTTATGATGATGTAATATGGGAAAACTCTGCATCTTCAACACATTTGGCACCACTGCAGATACTGCTGTCATGAGTGGAGCGAAAGAGGTGGCCCTGTGTTTGTCTTGGGGTCAGGGGGTCAGCTGTACGTGGCAAGGCTGTCCACAAGGCCGAGGGTGAGCTTCCACGGGTGGGAACCTTGTTCTCTTATTCCAGCACTGAGGGAGCCCTTCATACACGTTTGTTAAACAAACACTGAAATGAATCTGTTACCTGATGCCATTTTGAAGACTGCAGTCTGGCACTTGTGGTTTCAGCAGACATAGCAGCATATGCAAGTTATGCAGCTCAGATATTTATGTCTCTGAAACAGTCTGCATTCTACTTTTTCCTATGTTCCAGACAAGAACTGTAACTAGATTACTGCCTGTAGAGTTGGGGAAGGAGTAATTGAGAGATAATAGAACATAAAATGATCACGTCTTAGGGTATGTGGAGAAAACTTGTCATTCGCCATCTGCCTCTACAAGGATGAGGTCACCAGCCACTGTGGTCGCTGCCCTTCCACACCCCTGAAAGGAGTTCAGGGCGGAGACCAGGAATGAGGCCCTCTGTGCTCTGGGAAAACTGGCAGAACTGTCTTTCAGGCAGTTCGATATTTTCAAGAGATGATTTTATGAGCCCAGTTTCTTTCATCTTCTCATAGCTAGAAAAGTTCTACAATCATTAACGAAGATGTCTGCTCCTTGTGACTACTAGCAACCTTCTGCCAAAATGTGTCCTTGATTGCATGCGCCTCCTTCACCAAAATATAGGTAGTGACTTTTATGGCAGGAGTGTGACTGTTGGCAGACTTTCATCCCAGATGCCTTCTGTTGATATTTTGCTCATGTGCTTGGACACTCTCTGTTGTGGTTATCAGATTCCTCCCGATGCTCCAGGGCAGGAGCAAGATGATCCGCTTCCAGAATCAAGGGTGGGCATCAAACCATTCAGGTTCCACAAAAACATCGTGAGCCTGCCACGTTTTTATAAAGATAGGTGAAGCCTTACATGCAATGTCACACAGTGTTCATGGGTGTTCACATTAACGATTGAAGTGACAGTCGCTGAGTAAAATTGATGCCTCAAACAGGTGTAACGTCTCTGAGGGCCTGAGCACTGCTAGTTTTTCACAGTGGGGGAGCATGGGCACATTTGTGGTGAAATATGATCTAAGCATTGTATATGTTTTAAACAAACAGTTATTTATGAGACAAATGAAAACTATACTCCATCACGAGACTGCTCCAGGAGCTGCCCTTTGAGAAGTGACATTTGTACCAAAACCACTGGCCAGGCGGCCAGCCTCACCCGCCATGTGGCGGTGCTGACTCTGGTGGCCGTGGCTGCTGTAGCCCAGGTCCTGGGACTCTGGCCCAGCCGGCCTGCAGGTCACAGCTTGCCTGCAGCCCAGTGTTGGTGACTTCACTAGCACTGTGTTCAGAATCCATAGCTTGGGTCTGTGGTGATGAAGAGAATGTAATCAGAACTTTTTCTTTGCTAGTTTTGTAGGGAATTGTGAGATCGATCTGGAGATCAAGCGATATTTTTGTAGAGCTGGTGTGCAGAGTATACAGGTAAGGTTTTTTTAAGTTTTATTTTCTTTTCAGATTCTCTGCGCTCTATTCAGAAAGAAAATTGTGAAGTTCTCATTAACTCAGAATTTCTTTGAAGTTAAAGAGAGAAGCCTGAAGTCATATGCTCAGGAATCACTGTCAGGATCTTGCATCCTCCCTTTGAGTCAGTAAGAGCCTGTGAAATTATTTCCATTAATGTTTTGTTTTCCCATTTGAATTTAGATTCATGGTACAATGCGGGTGATCCTGGAACCATTGATTGGAGACATGCCCTTAGTAGGAGCTTTGTCTATCTTCTTCCTTAGGAAGCCAGTAAGTCAAGGTTTATTTCATTTTCTTCTTCCCATTCACTGACAAGAATGCATACATACCAAAGAACAGAGTGAAGAAAAAGAGCTTATCTCACTTTATTCCCTCTGAGGCATGAATCCTGTATGTTTTCATCTCTTATGCTTTAACATCTCTTGATAGACCACTTTTTCCTCATTATAAAACTAAATACATTTGGGAATTCCCTGGTGGTCCAGTGGTTAAGACTCAATACTTCCACTGCAGGGGATGAGGGTTTTATCCCTGTTCAGGGAGCTAGATCCTGCATGCCACACTGTCAAAAAATAAAAATAGTGTTATAATATTAATTGCCAAATGAGATTTCAGTACTCAGAAAAGCAGGATGTGGCTATGAGAGGTTGAGAGTCACTGGCACCCTTATATGGTAGATGACAGCCCCTACGCACACTCTTCAGAGAAAAGGGGCTTCTCGGTCACTTTCACCTGGAAGTATGAGAGCACAGTGCCCGGCCATCTGCCAAGTCCCTCCCCACCCCAGTGAAAAACAAAGGTCCTGGGATTTTGACTGGATGGTTTAGACGCGTGGAAATCTTCACAGTGTGGAACTTTTGTACATTGTTTTGCTTGTTGGTTTGTTTAGATTAGTTTTGATAATGTGCTACTTGCTTTAAAAAAAACAAAACTGCAAGTTTCTGAAGTGCTGCCCTCGTGGAGCACATGGAGGCAGGACGGATGTACTGTCCCATTTCAGGTTCAGTGATGGATGCAGGCCTCCCAGCCTCACTGCCCACTCTCGGTTCCTCCTGTTCTCTGACCTGTGTTGTTTGATCAAACTGCCATCTCCCACCACCAGTCTCCACAGGGGATGGTCCCAGGACTCCCACAGCCAAGTTCCACAGATGCTCAGGTTCCTTAGTAAATGGCGCAGTGTTTGCTCCTAACCTCTGCACAGCCTCTAGCATCCTTTAAATCATCTCGACATCAGTAGTAACACCTAATACAGTGTAACTTCTGTGTAAATAGTTGCAATGTAAATGATATATAAATGGTTGCCTTAGTGCAGCAGATTCAAGTTTTGCTTTTTGGAACTTTCTGGAATATTCTTTCTTTCTGAATACTTTTGCTCCATGATTGGTTAAATCTGAGGAGATGGAGCTGGAACCCTTGGACACTGAGGCCCAACTGTTTTTGATTTCTGTAAGCCTCAGTTTCCCCATCAGTAACTTGAGTATGGTAATACCTCCCTTAAAAGATTAGATGTGACAACTAAATGTCAGTGGGTAGAAACACTCAGTATATTCCCTGGCGTACAGAAGTCTTCACGTGTTTCAAAGTAAAATATGTTCCTACATGGAGGCTTAGCATGCCGGCGGGGCCTGACAGTGACAGCAGAGCTCGAGGGTTGGTGCGTCGGGATGAGGTTCTGGCAGGAGCCAGCGAGACCCCCAGTCTGCCCCCGGACGCGCCCCAGATGGGCGGCCGCCCCTCCTGCTGACTTGGTACTGTTGACATCGCCTCTGGGCTATATTCCTGAGGGTGTTTCAGCATCCTTAGGCCACATTTAGGTTCGTCTCAGGAGTGTGGATTAGACTAGACTGAAGCAGGAGGCCTTTTCTAGAACTTCTCCAGGAGGTGGTCTGGGCTCACTCTGCAAGTATTTTTCTCAGGGGTCCTCCCTGGTAGCAAAGCACATGTCTTCTGAGTCTGTAATCCACAGACTGAGTTTCTTCATCTATAAAATGGAATTAATATCTTCCTTTAAGAGTGATTGTGAAAAGAAATTGAATCCATCTAGCTAGGGCTCCAGCAGTTGAGGTTGTTATTGTTCAGTTGCTCAGTCAGGTCCGGCTCTTTGCGACCCCATGGACTGCAGCACATCATGCCTCCCTGTCCATCACCAACTCCCAGAGCTTACTCAAACTCGTGGCCATCGAGCCGGTGATGCCATCCAACTATCTCGTCCTCTGTCGTCCCCTTCTCCTCCCACCTTCAATCTTTCCCAGCATCAGGGTCTTTTCAAATGAGTCAGCTCTTCGCATCAGGGGCTAAAGTATTGGAGCTTCAACTTCAGCATCAGTCCTTGCAATGAATATTCAGGACTAATTTCCTTTAGGATGGACTGGTTGGATCTCCTTGCAGTCCAAGGGACTCTCAAGAGTCTTCTCCAAACCACAGTTCAAAAGCTTCGGTGCTCTGCCTTCTTTATGGTCCAACTGACATGAATACATGACCACTGGAAAAACCATAGCTTTGACTAGATGGACCTTTGTCAGCAAAGTGATGTCTCTGCTTTTTAGTACACTGTCTACATTTGTCATAGCTTTTCTTCCAAGGAGCAAGCAGTTGAGGTACATTAAGCAAAGAAGGAGGAGGAAGGGGGGACTTTAAAAACAGAGTGAGCATGTCCTGCTGTCTCGTGGAACCCATGCAGGGGCTGCATCCGAGGACCAGGAACAGGATGACTGTGGCACGTGACCACTGTGGCTGCCGTCCTCTCTCAGGCCTATTCTGCCTGCTTCATTCTCTCTCCCCAAGACCGTGACCTCTGGTCCTTCAGGCCACAGGCCAGAGTCCCAGCTGCCATGGCCCCAAGGAGGAGCGAGCCTCCCCCCTCCCTTTGTCCTGGCCTGCCCCCTTCTAGCTGCATCAGGCACAGGTCCTTGGCCCTGAGACCAGGAGTGGAGAGGACACAGCGTTTGAAGGAGGGTCCCGTGGGCTGATCCTGCCGCCCTCTGCGGGAGGCAGCAGTGAGGTGATGAGGCAGAAACTGGCAGGCAGGTCCTCAGAGCCCACTGCACTGAGGAGGGCCCAGAATGGGGCCCCTGGGGAGTTTGGGGGTATTCATCCTGCCAGATGTTCTCTGAGTTTCTTGGAGGGGGGTTGATGTCCTGCATTATTTTGGAGCTACTTCCACACCTCCAGGGTGCTGGTGCTCTTGGCGGCCCCTCCCCGTGCCCCGGAAGGGTCTGACGCGCTCTCAGTGCCCTGCACCTGTGTGGTGCAGAGGGCGTTCTGTCCTGGCCTCTGCGTGGGGGCTGCCTTTCCTGTCCTTTTCTGTCTCCGGCTCTCACAGGTCTTGCTCTGGCTCTCCTGCCCAGGGTGGCCCTTGTCCCCTCAGCTGTCTGTGCATTCAGGAGTGACACTCTTCCCAGTGTGCTTCATCACAAGTGGCAGCTGGAAGTCTCAGGGCTCTTAAAGCATAAGAAAAACATTTCTTGACCTTTATCACCAGCCCAGATCAGCAAATTCAAAAGCTCTGGGGAAGGGCGGAGCCACCAGTCTGTCTGTAACAAACTTCCTGTGTAGGAGGCTGGCATGCAGTCAGCGCTGAAATGAGCAGTGTCTGTGGGTTCGAATTCTGCTGGACCCACAGGCCCTCAGAGGCTGCTCAGGGGAGGCCTGACTGAGGCTGCCCTGCTCCTGTACCTGCTCAGGCTGCTGGGTCTCCAGGTGCAGAGGGGTCTCCCTCCAAGCCCCGTCCCGCCCCCTCCCTCACTTCTACTTCTCAGCCCTCAGAAAGAGGTAGTTTCCTGTCTTTTGGAAACACTTCCCACTGGCTCTTCAGTTTCCCCAAAGGAGATCCATCCAGACTGGGGGCTGATGCGGAGGGCACTGATTTTCGTTGCTTTCCTCGACCTGCCCCTACGGCTGGCTGGACTTTGCCCTCTCGCATACCTGGACACCTGTTCACTCACACACTCAGTCTCGTCCTCAAGCGCAGAGTCACTCACACTCCTCTCCCTCCACAGCCGTCCAGCTTGGCTCTTGTGTCCTCTGGCCTCCCCTGTGCTCAGGGACAGGCCAGCTCCCCCTTCAGGGCCTCGAACAAGCGTGCCTAGAGCTTTCCTTCTTGCATTCATATCTCCTCAAACTCAGCTGAGTCTGTCCTTCTGTGAATTCTGTCCCCGTCCCCCTAGTATTACTCTGTTTCTGTGAACTTGGGTAGCATTCAGGTACATCACATCATCTTGACAAATGTCCTGCGAGTAGGTGCTCTGTTACCCCCGAGTTTACAATCTGGTTTTAGTCCCTTAAGGTGATTGCCCTTTGGGAGGGCCATTGAGAGTTTCTTTGACCTTCTGATTCAGCAAGATGCCCCACGTTCATGTTAACAGTTTTTGCCCCAGACCCAAAATCAGCCATTTCTTCAAAGTCTCCTGTTGCCTTTAGTGGAAGAAGCATCTAGAGATCACAGTCATGGTCTAGGGCATCCATGGGGCTTCCCTCTTAGCTCAGTCAGTAAAGAATCTGCTTGCAAGACAGGGGACCTGGGTTTGATTCCTGGGTTGGGAAGATCCCCTGGAGGAGGGCATGGCTACCCACTCCAGTATAATTGCCTGGAGAATCCCAAGGACAGAGGAGACTGGCGGGCTACAGTCTATGGTGTCGCAAGAGTCGGGCACGACTGAGCAACTAAACCACCAGGGAGTGTGATGGAGGTTAGTTTCTCAGGACTTTATTAAAGTCGTTGCTTTTGAGTTTGGGTTTGTCCAAAGGAATCTTGACCTTTCAGTTCATACGTAAAACTGCTCACTCCTGAGCTTTTTCACTCCAGTGTATGTAAGTAATAGAGGTCATAGAGTTTCACTTAGCATCTTCTACAGTATAAAGCACAAGTAATTGCATTATGTGCAGTATCCATCTTGACAGGAGAAGCAGTGTTTTAATCAGTACTTTTTACCTGTCCACATCTGTTTAATGGAATCTCAGCCAACTATATTGAAATTATTCTAAGATAAATACCCACTAGAAAAATGAGCAAAAAAATACAAAAGTCGACAAAATGGATGGAACATGTGCCACTAATATCAGGAAAAAAGTGAAAGTGAAAGTCGCATGGTCATGTCCAACTCTTTGCGACCCCATGGACTGTCCAGTCCAGGGAATGCTCCAGGCCAGAATACTGGTGTGGGTAGCCATTCCCTTCTCCAAAATCAGGAAAATGTTGTTTGAAATAGTGATAGAGTAACCATTCTTTAACTGCCAAATAGACTGATTTTTAACATCTGTGTTTGGTGTGGCTGTAAAGAACGTACATTTTATACAATTTTGATGGAAATGTAAATTGGCACAATATTAGAGCAATTAGGTAGTGACGTGACTTAGCAACTGAACACCAAGGTAGTGTATATCAGCATAAAGAAGTGAACATATATTTTTGACAAGAGCTTCCCCTTTTTGAATGCTAGTCTCTGTAAGAACATGTGTGTAAAAAGATATTCACTGAATCATTTTGTTCTTGTTCTTCAGTTGCTGTCGTGTCTGACTCTGCAATCCTATGAACTGCAGCACAGCAGGCTTCCCTGTCCCTCACTATCTCCCTGAGCTGGCTCAAACTCATGTCCATTGAGTTGATGATGCCATCCAACATTTCATCCTCTGTCACCCCCTTCTCCTCCTGCCCTCTCAAACTTTTCCAGCGTCAGGGTCTTTTTCAGTGAATCAGCTCTTCACAACACGTGGCCGAAGTATCGGAGCTTCAGCTTCAGCATCAGTCCTTCCAATGAATATTGAGAGTTGATTTCCTTTAGGATGGACTGGTTGGATCTCCTTGCAGTCCAAGGGACTCTCAAGAGTCTTCTCCAAACCACAGTTCAAAAGCTTCGGTGCTCTGCCTTCTTTATGGTCCAACTGACATGAATACATGACCACTGGAAAAACCATAGCTTTGACTAGATGGACCTTTGTCAGCAAAGTGATGTCTCTGCTTTTTAGTACACTGTCTACATTTGTCATAGCTTTTCTTCCAAGGAGCAAGCAGTTGAGGTACATTAAGCAAAGAAGGAGGAGGAAGGGGGGACTTTAAAAACAGAGTGAGCATGTCCTGCTGTCTCGTGGAACCCATGCAGGGGCTGCATCCGAGGACCAGGAACAGGATGACTGTGGCACGTGACCACTGTGGCTGCCGTCCTCTCTCAGGCCTATTCTGCCTGCTTCATTCTCTCTCCCCAAGACCGTGACCTCTGGTCCTTCAGGCCACAGGCCAGAGTCCCAGCTGCCATGGCCCCAAGGAGGAGCGAGCCTCCCCCCTCCCTTTGTCCTGGCCTGCCCCCTTCTAGCTGCATCAGGCACAGGTCCTTGGCCCTGAGACCAGGAGTGGAGAGGACACAGCGTTTGAAGGAGGGTCCCGTGGGCTGATCCTGCCGCCCTCTGTAAAGTGATGTCTCTGCTTTTTAATATGCTGTCTAGGTTTGTCATAGCTATTCTTCCAAGGAGCAAGTGTCTTTTAATTTCATGGCCGCAGTCACTGTCCACATTGATTTTGGAACCCAAGAAAATGAAATCTGACACTGTTTCCACTTTTTCCCCATCTGTTTGCCATGAAGTATGGGACCGGATGCCATGATCTTAGTTTTCTGAATGTTGAGTTTTAAGTCAGCTTTTTCACTCTCCTCTTTCACCTTCACCAAGAGGCTCTTTAGTCCCCCTTTACGTTCTGCCATTAAGGTGGTGTCATCTGCATATCTGAGATTGTTGATATTTCTCCTTGCAATCTTGATTCCATCTTGTGATTCATCCAGCCTGGCATTTCCCATGATGTACTCTGTGTATAAGTTAAATAAGCAGGATGACAATATATAACTTTGACGTACTCTTATACAGGTTTCTCATGAGACAGGTGAGGTGGTCTGGTATTCACATCTCTTTAAGAATATTCCAGTTTGTTGTGATCCACACAGCCAAAGGCTTTAGTGTAGTCAATGAAGCAGAAGTAAATGTTTTTTTAGAATTCCTTTGCTTTTTGTATGATCCAGCATATATTGGTGATTTGATCTCTGGTTCCTCTTCCTTTTCTAAATCCATCTTGTACATCTGGAGGTTCTCGGTTCATGTACTGCTGAAACCTAGCTTGAAGGATTTTGTACATAATCATGCTAGCGTGTGAAATGAATGCAATTGTACAGTAACTTGAGCATTCTTTGGCATTGCCTTTCTTTGGAATTGGAGTGAAAACTGACCTTTTCGAGTCCTGTGGCCGCTGCTGAGTGTTCCAAATTTGCTGGTATAATGAGTGCAGCATTTTAACAGCATCATCTTTTAGGATTTGAAATATCTCAGCTGGAATTCCATCACCTCCACTAGCTTTTTTCATAGTAGTGCTTCCTAAGGCCCACTCAGGATGTCTGACTCTAGGTGAGTGATCACACCATCGTGGTTTTCTGAGCCATTTAGAGCTTTTTTGTATAGTTCTCCTGTGTATTCTTGCCACCTCTTCTTAATCTCTTCTGCTTCTGTTAGATCCTTGCCATTTTTGTCCTTTATTGTGCCCATCTTTGCATAAAATGTTCCCTTGGTATCCCCAATTTTATAGAGATCTCTAGCCTTTTCCATTCTATTGTTTTCCTCTATTTCTTTGCATTGATCACTTAAGAAGGCTTTCTTATCTCTCCTAGCTGTTCTCTGGAGCTGTGCATTCAGTTGGGTATATCTTTTCCTTTCTCCTTTGCCTTTTGTTTCTCTTCTTTTCTCAGCTATTTGTAAGGCCTGCTCAGACAACCACTCTGCCTTCTTGCCTTTCTTTTTCTTGGGGGTGGTTTTGGTTATAACCTCCTGTACAGTGTTACGAACCTCCGTCTATAGTTCTTCAGGCACTCTCTCTACCAGGTCTAGTCCCTTGAATCTATTTGTCACTTCCACTATATAATCATAAAGGATTTGATTTAGGCCATACCTGAATGGCCTAGTGGTTTTCCCTACTTTCTTCAGTTTGAGCCTGAATTTTGCAGTAAGGAGCTCATGATCTGAGCCACAGTCAGCTCCCAGTCTTGTTTTTGCTGACTGTTTAGAGCTGCTCCATCTTTGGCTGCAAAGAATATAATCAATCTGATTTTGGTGTTGACCATCTGGTTAGGTAGATGTGTAGAGTCATATCTTGTGTTGTTGGAAGAGGGTGTTTGCTATGACCATTACTTACAATAAAAGAGAAACTGCAAATATTCTAAGTGCTCATCAATAGGATGGTGGGTATATAAATAATTATGATTTTACTGGAGAAACTTATGACATCAAAAAACATAAGAACAGGCAAGCTATTGGTACCAATAAGGGACAACAACTTTGATATTTTATACAGTGAAAATCAAGGTATAGGACAGCATTGTGTACTGAGTAACCCATTTCATTTATAAAGAAACAGACTTGTATAATTTGATAATGATAATTAGAAGTAGTTTGCATACTTACCATCTTTGCCCTTTTTTTAAAAACAGCTTTTAGAAATTAACTGGACAGGACTGACTAATCTTCTCGACATTCCTGGATTGAAGTAAGTACTCTGTTGTGCCCTGTGGCCAGCTAGCTGATAGCATGTGCGTCGGCAGTGTCATGAGACAGCCCAGCGGCTGAGTGCCGTCTCCCAGGCAGCGTCCGTGCCTTCCAGGCAGGGCGCTCGGGCTGCAGCTGCACGCCAGCCCTGTCAGGACCAGATGGAGCTGTTTCATTTGTCAGAAGGTGTCTTTCCAGTTTTGGTGTTTTAATATCCCAGAAAAATAAAGAAAACTTTAAAAAGTTTTCAAACTGGTATGTTTCAAGACAAGCCCTTCCTGGCTGCGTTCAAGCTGTGCTGCCCTGTCCCTTTCTGCCTTCTCTGCCTTGACGCACTCCTCCTGGGGGGTGGAGTCAGCCCGGACCTGAGGCTGCGGGTGCCACTGGGAGTCTCCACTGTTCCATGTGCTCCAGTGTCTGAACCCTGAGGACTCCTTCCAGATGAGCTGTGGAGCCTTTGGTGCACGTCCCTCCTGTGAGGGCGGTTAGGCTTCCTAGTCAGGCTGCAGGTCGTCTGTCCTCCAAGATGGAAGGCAGCAGTGGCAGACCGTTAGTCACCACCAAGCAGGAAAGCTGCTTCTCCTGCTTTCACCACTGCATTTGAAGGTTAAAGTGCCTTAAGTGTTGGTTACAGTTACATGTGTTCCTAGTGGACACTTTGTTAATCTGTGGGGTTCTTTTCCCTAAAATAGCTTAGAAAATTGAATTATGAAAGCTTTGGTTTAGTCTGCTTTTTTTTTTTTTCTATTCCTTTGTATTTATTATGTCCTTGAAGTGGCCATTAGAAAGAATTTTATTTTGTTTCATTATCAGGAAAAAATGAAGATTTTAATAAGCTAAGGCATAGTTGTAATAATAAGTCTCTTTTAGGCACTGTGGTTTATTGGATATAGAAAAGCACCATTACCTTTAAAAGATTCTTGGAAAGGACAGCTTTAAAAGAATTTGTGTAAAAGGCTTTGTTAGTATTCTTGCTTTCAAGAACAAACCCTGCTCACTTGGTCTTTATTAAGCGAGTAAAGTTTTTGAGAGACAGTCCATTCATCCAACAAGCGGGTGGGGAGCGCCTGCTCTGGGTGCTGGGTGTGGCCTGCAGCCCTGTCAGGCGGCCAGACAGGGCCAGGTGCTGATGTCCAAAGGACGGCTCCTGACCCGGCTTTGCTGTTTGGCTTTGTTGCTCGGCAGGCTCTTGCCATGAAGTAGCAGCTTCTGGCTTCTATTCTGCATGCATGCTTAGCAGCCCCAGTAGAAGATTCCAGCAAATGTCCCTCTAGTTCCAGCAGAAGTTCCAGAGTTGACCTCTGTTTGTCCACCTTTCCTTGCACAAATTCTTCTGGTTCTGATGATCAGGTCTGGGTCTCGTGCCCACCCTGAGAGGAGGCAGAGAATTGCTTGAAACAGTTGCAATGAAGGACAGGAAGTCCCCCAAAGGAGGGACTCCAGGAGTTGGATGAAAGGGTGCTGGTTAGTGGCGAAAACAGCAAGTCCCTGCTGTCCTTCAGTGCAGAACAGAATGTGCGTTCTGCTTCCCTCCCCTCAGCACCGTGACCCGTGCTGTCGGGCATCTCCTCTGCAGGTGGCGCTGTGGCAGAGAGCCGGCGGGCGCTGCTGGAGGTGTCCCAAAGCACTGGAAAGGGAGAGACACACGTACACAAGGGCACACAGATACACACGTGCAGATGCAGCTTCGTTTCATTTCGTGGTTTTATATGAGGACAGACTCTGTGTGGTATACCTTCTAGCTATTGTTTTATATATAGATTTTTATACACATATAAAACATAGTCATATATAGGTATGTATAGGATTGCATATATTGTTAAGAATATATATGTATATATATTAGAAATGCAGGTGGAAATAGACACCATGCAAAAATGAGGCCATGGTATAAAAGAAATATAGTAAAATACTCCTTTAAAATTACATATATTTATATGACATATAATTTATACATAATTATATGAATTTCATGTGATAAAATACATGTCTGTGTACTTAACATAAAACTTGGGCCACTGTTTTGTGAAGATTTTATCAAGTAACAGCTGTGGCAGACCTTATCTTATAAAAGTAAATATTTAGGGGGGATCGGGATGGGGAATACATGTAAAACCATAGCTGATTCTTGTCAATGTATGACAAAAACCACTACAATATTGTAAAGTAATTAGCCTCCAACTAATTAAAAAAAAAGTAAATATTTAATAACTTTGAACCCAGCATAATGAAATCTTGCCCCAAGCTTTACTAAATGAACATCTGCCTGCTCCCTGCATTGACTGCGGAACAGAAGCCAAGGTGTGAGAAGGTAGCAGGACGCCTGAGCCATTTCACCTTACCTCGCGTGTTCACGCTCCCTGCCACTGTTCAGTGACGAGCCCTAACCCAAGTGTGAGGGGTGAAGACTGTAGGTGATGCGCAGGGCTGGGTCAGGAAGACCGGGAGGGCGGAAGGCGAGAGGAAGCCGTGCTGTGTGCTGAGCCCTGCCGCAGTCAGGACGGGGGGAGCAGCAGCTCACGGATGTGCAGCCCCGCTCGGGAGCCGTCAGTGGAGGTGCCAGCTGGGCCTTCTGCTGGCGGCATAGGCATCAGCGGGAGGTGAGGCGCCGCCCACCACCGGGGTGGCTAACAGGTTCCTGAAGCACTTACGTCAGCAGTGAGGGGCCTTCTGTCTCAGGAGATTTTTCGATATAAACAAAACTCGTGCTTCTGCAGGGAATTGCCTGAAGCAAGGGTGTGCTGGGTGCTAAAGCTTTGAGGGGCCACTTTGTCATCAGCTTGGTGAGCACTGATCCAGTGTCTGCCAGCTTACGCCCTCCGAGTCCCTCTGGAGTGCAGACGCTGGTTAACTGGCCTCTTCAGAAGAGCAGAGTTATCTGGGGAGTGTGGTTCCCGTGTTGAACTGAGAGGGCTGGCACTGAGCCTCCACATCTTGGTTGGCATTTGGACCCCAGCCTGCAGCGAGGCTCAGTCATCTCTCAGGGTGTGGTAGGACTGTCCCTGTGTCCCAGGGGATGTTCTGGCTGTGGTTCGTTTACGTCTGTCATGTGTGTAATGCTGACATCTAAAAAGTACAGGCAGGAAGTAAGGTTCTTCTAGGACTCTGCGGTTCTGGCTAAAGGTGCTTGTGCATAGCCGTGCAGCTCAGGTTCTGTGCCCTCAGAAGTGGTGTTGCAGAGACTCTTGACTCTCCATTTACACACATTTGCAAAGAACAGACAAAAAGTATATTGAAAGTACATTAATCACCAGCTCAGGTTGGATGCATGAGACTAGTGCTCAGGGCTGGTGCACTGGGAAGACCCAGAGGGGTCGGGTGGAGAGGGAGGTGGGAGCGGGGATCGGGATGGGGAATACATGTAAATCCATGGCTGATTCATGTCAATGTATGGCAAAAACCACTATAATATTGTAAAGCAATTAGCCTCCAACTAATAAAAATAAATGAAAAAAAAAAAGAAAGTACCTTAGTTTCTTTAGCCCCCACAACTTTATTCCTGCTACTGAATTCTCTGTGCAGTGGCATATACTATTTCAAATTGATTACAGTATTCAGTACCTAATAAAGTGTAAAGAAGAATGAACTGTAAATTCTTTTATTTCATTGGGAGCTCTGCATATATAACAAGAAAGATGAATTTAATGTAATGTGAAATGAGTAAATGCTTGTTTTCATATTCTCTGCACTTTTATGTGTGTTTGAAATATTTTATGTTAAAATAAGAAATGTAATTAAGTGTATATTCAGTGTTAAATCAATGATAAAGGTATGTGGAAATGTATGAGGGTGATTTAGGACATTGAGAAGTGTAGTCAGAACATTGCCTTGTGTTCTCAGAATAAGTCCCACACAGTTGTCAGCACAGCAGCATAAGCACTGTGTTGGGGGAACCGGCTCTGACCTGTTGGTAGGATGTTGCATCGTGTTTGTGCCAAGTTCACTGTTACAGGTGGTGACTCACATGAAGTGTCTGATCATTCTTTTTTTTTAACCTCCCACCTAACAGTGGTTTATCAGATACTATCATTTTGGATATAATATCAAACTATCTGGTGCTTCCCAATCGAATCACAGTCCCTCTTGTCAGCGAAGTTCAAATCGCTCAGCTGCGGTTTCCTGTACCAAAGGTAAGCATGTGTTCATCAACACTTAAAACAGACTGAAGTAACTGGTCACCTGGGTAACAGAAGTAACGCCTGGGTGCTGTGACTTCCTGCATTTCTCCTAACAACGACCTAGCCATGTGGATCTTGATGCTGTAAAAGCTGTCTGTCCTGCCTGTCCTTAGGAGGTTGGGTAAGGGCCGTCTGGCCTAAAGCTTTCAGGGACTTAGGGCAGTTCTTACACCCCAGAGGTACTCACAGGGATTTAATTCTGCAGATGTCACTGCAAGCTGCAAAGGGCCGTGGTGACAACTTGTTCACTGCCTCAGAAAGCATTTTCTGCTTGTGTGTACGAGGTACATTCTAGCCTGACCTGGGCACCTTGTGCCAGGCTCCCATCAGGTGTGAGGAGCAGTCGTCTGTGGAGTCCTCCAGGTGCGGATGCGCCAGGCGCACCGGGGATGTTACGCGCCCCCAGACGGAGTGAGCGGGCAGGGCTGGGCTGAGTCACGGCCTGAGGGTTGGCGGCAGCTTCACTCTGGGGGCGCATTCCTCAGTGTCTTCATTTGTAGGTTGGGGTGGCGCCTCACACACAGAGGTGGCCACACATCTTGGAGGCACCTTCATCTGAGTAAACTAAACAACTTCAGCCCGAAACCACAAGAGCCTGCCAGCCACGGGTGTGGAATCCTGTCCCAGGCCCAGAGCACGTTCTCGGAGGGCAGCTCCTACTGGTTTGCGTCCCGCCTGTGTGGTCTTACCGACCATGGGCTCCAGAGGTGGAGTGGGCAGCCTGTCACGTGGTGTCTGGTCTCAGTTCAGACTTTGTTTCATGAAGTAGAAGTAGCCAGCCTTTACCTCTGCCTGTTACCCTTCTAGGAAGCTCAATCTTAGTAAGAGTGCACAGACCAACAAGCATTCATGAGCAATCCTACTGTTCTCAAAGTAACAGCAGCCCAGTCCTCACATCCCAGTTAGTCATATTGCTGGCATTCAGCAGTTGTGATGGGACACAGCTGAGGTGGGGATGTCTTTCTTCCTTCACTTAGCATCCTCAGCTTGGGGAACACGGGCTGCCTTTGCACATAGGAATCCTTGTGCTCCTGGGCCCTGGGCTCTGTTCTCTGAGCACTGGGAACCGTCTGAGCCTGCCCGGGTCCACCCTCCATGCTGCTCAAATATGTGGCCACAGTGTCTAAGCATTAAATCTGTGAAAACGTAAACGGGAGGTTGGTGACATTTTTTTTCTGGTAATGATTTTTAAAAGTATATCTGTAAAAGTATGTCTTCCTATGCTAATTGGTTAGGAACAGTACCTGGTAACTTTTTATAAAGTGTTTATGGTATAGAATGCTGCCTTCTCAAAAGGTAACTTTACCAGTTGTGTTTACCTTGAAAGAAATATGGGTGGATATTTTTTATCAATTAAGCAACATTTTAGGGAAAGAGAACTATGTTGTCTGTAAGTGTATGTATCTCAGAGTTTCAGTCTTCTATCCATAAAATAGGTTTATTGACAGTATTGCATAGGATTATTCTAAAAATGCAGCGCAGTCACTGGTGCGTGTGAAGGACTCAGGAAGAGTCTCCTGCATCCCAGGGTGCTGGTTTCCAGTGTAGGTACTGCCCTGGTCCTACCAGGACTCAGCGCTGTTCTGGCCATGAGGCCCTGTGTCGTCTGCCTGCCTCCTGCCCTCTGCCCTGCCCAAGCCGGGGCCCTGGGGCACAGAGTGGCTCTGGGCCTCCTCCCTCCCAGGAGGGTCGCAGCTCACACCAGCTCCTCCGTCTCTGGCCTCTGGTCGGACCCTTGGGGCCCGTGGTGTTGCCCCCGAGGCACTCGTGTTTACCTTCTTTGCTCAGGGGAGAGGATCTGTCTTGTCCCCAAGCCAGCCTTTGCTCCAGGTCTGCGGGTGAACCGGTGAATAGTCTGCTCTGTCTTCCTTCTTTCTAGGGTGTCCTGAGAATACACTTTATTGAAGCTCAGGATCTTCAGGGAAAAGACACTTACCTTAAGGGACTTGTCAAGGGGAAGTCAGACCCCTACGGAGTGATTCGAGTTGGCAACCAGATCTTCCAAAGCAAGGTCATCAAGGAGAACCTCAGTCCGAAGTGGAACGAGGTGTATGAGGTGAGGGGGTGGGTGCGGTGCATCTTTCCCCAGGTTCTGCTCCTGCTCCTGGTGAGTGCTTAGTGTGAGGTGAGGGGGTGGGTGCCGTCCTTCCCCAGGCTCTGCTCCCGCCCCCGCCCTGTGGCAAGTGCTTAGTTCAGTGCAAAGAGTTTCGCTTTGATTCTCGATCTTTAAAAATACTTCACTTTGTATCCCTTCCTCACACACAATTTTAAACCTTAATCACTTTAAGCTATCTCAGTAAATAAGCGGCCGCTAACACACAAGCGTACTTCACGATGAGGTTAGTTGTATACTGTATTTTAGTTTTCATTTAGTGCATCTGGACACTTCTTCATGTCCCAAGCACAGCCACTCAGGCGAGATGACGCCCTCATGTATACACGAGGGACCTGGCCTTTGGACTCAGCACTGTAACCAGTGCCTTTTGGGTATCGTGGGGCCATATTTAGTGAACTTGGCCAAGTTGCCCCCAGAGAATGCCCCTCAGAGTGAACAACTGCATCACAGGGCGTGCGGCTTGGAAAGAACTGGAAGGGGGTACGGCCTTTACCCCACCAGCTTCTGGTCCTCCCTGCCCTGTCTGTTGCCGGATCCCAACTTCTGAGTGGTGGTGAGGGGCCAGCCCTGACCGGGGCTGCTGCAGGAGTGGAGAGATGTCCGCGCCGGTAGCCCCGATAACTGGAAGCAAGCGCAGTGCCACGTGCAAGGGAGTTCCCAGGGGCTCCCAGCATCAGCCATGTATCGGGTCTGATGGTGGGGTCTGGATGTGGAGCAGCTGCTGGAGCCGGTGTCAGCTGCGATTACGACTCAGAACAGATGCTCATAAGGGTGAGACAGCCGTGCACTGGTACCTTCCAGGCTCTGGTCTATGAACATCCCGGACAGGAATTGGAGATCGAGCTCTTTGACGAAGACCCAGACAAGGATGACTTCCTCGGAAGGTAAGTCCTCCGTGACCAGGAGTGTGGACTTTTCCTCTTTGATCGTCACTCTTAAATGTGTAACATCAGAGCAGGTTTATTACACGTTACATGTGTATTAAAATGGCTTTTCGATGTTAGGTTTGTTTCACCTTAGACCTCTTAAAACACGTTTTGTTCCTAAAACAAATTTTACATTTAAGTAAGAAAAGGAAAGCTAAGTTAAACAGGACTTGAAATTCACGTTCTTGGCTGTGCTGCCTCATTTAAGCGTTCAGCCGCCAGCTGCAGCCTCCGCGCAGCCCAGCTTCCCAGCCTTGCGCCCGGCAGGCTGCTGGGCTCCTGGCTCTAGAAATGGGTTTGTGAACTTCCTATTTGTTATTGGCCTGTGGGGGTGGGGATAGGTTGTAATTTACATTGTGCCTATGTATTGGAAAAATACTGATTTGTTTACTTAAATTGAACAATGTGTACAGCTGAAAAAATATGAACTATCAAAAAAACACACTTTAGCCTAATCTTACTATATAACTGAATTTCTTGTTGCAAAAAAGATACAAGGGTAAATGACACTGAACAGGTCTGGTTTCATCAAGGATGGCCTGTGTGTTAGGCTGTGACCTCAGAATTCATTTGTGAGACCGTTTATCAAAGGGCAACCAAAAGGTTGTAAGCAAGCAACGAACAGATGAGATTTGCACTAAAGCCTCTGTTAGATTCGGGCATCAGTGGCTGAGACTGGGGGCTGGCTGGGCCCCAGGCGTCTGTAATGGAGCAGGGAACGCAGGGCAGCGCACAGGGACACAGAGGAGGACGGGCGTGCGATCATCCCGCCCTGCTCCACTCGTCTCTGGCTCTGGGCTGCCTTACGCTTCCCAACAGAGCAGGACTATTGAGGGAAATGGGACGGGCTGTCGGGATCATGCCAGGAACGAGGCAGAGGCCCTAGAGGTGCCGGTCGGAGCTGAGGAAGCAGGGCTAGAAAGGCAGTCAGCGCCTGATTTAGCTCACAGCGACGAAGCCCGAGCCGGAGTGGCGGGTCATTGCTCAGAGAGAGCACGTCCACCCACCCTGGTCGAATGCGCCCGCCCGCGTGCCCCAGGCTCCTCTGTAGACAACGCCCGCCCCCGGCTCTCCCCTGTAGACACGCCCCGCCACCCGGGTTTCCCAGTAGACATGCCCACATGCCCGGGGCTCCTCCAGACCACTGCCTGTGGGGAGACCCAGCGTTGCCAGCCCTAACTTCAGCCATGCCACGCTGCGTGTTCCCTGCTCCCTTCACACCCGGGTGGAAGCTTGACGAAGCTTGGAGGATGAAGCTTGTTTCTTGATAAACTATAGCATTCTGTTGCTTTTCTGGAGTACTTTTTCATAGAGTAATACTTAAGTTTATTTCAATTTTCAGAAGTGGTTTTCTGTGTTCTAAAGTTGTTGTATTGTTATTTCTATAGTCTTATGATTGATCTTATTGAAGTTGAAAAGGAGCGCCTTTTAGATGAAGTAAGTTTCCTTTGAGTACTGTTCTGTTTCATGAGTGTTGATGCAGAGTGCCCGCTGCCGCCATCCCGGATGGTCTGAGAACTTAACAGCCGCTCACAGACGTTGAGAACTTAGGCCTTCCAGTACCAGCAAAGTGAAAATACATCAGCACCTACCAGAAACACAAAATTCCCAAGTATCCAAACACACACCCACTTTGTTTCAGGCAGGCATGGTCTGCTTCGGAGTCAGGGCAGAGTCTGGTAGAAGCTCCCGAGAATCGGGCATTAAAAGGTAGTTGGGACTCATAGCAGAGCGACGCAGTGCAGTTGGTGAGACATTGTCCCAGGAAAGACACCCACAAACGCATCATGAACTGGCAGACACAGACGCTGCTTCAAGCAAGATGCTGCTCTCAGAGTAAAGAGGAAGTTTGTGATGGCTGCTGAAAGATGGGTAAGATTTGGATGAGTAAGGCGCAGTTAGCCGAAGCTCTGCCGAGAGCTGTGTCAGCCGCACACGGCGCGCAGTGGACAGGCATCTGCAGTCGGCCCTGCTGTCCTGTGCTCCTGTGCTGTGTGGCGCGGCGGGCCCAGCAGACACGCCCTGCACTCGGACGTCCCTTCTAACGCTGAGTGTTGGTGACCGTCCTCCATTAACAGTTTGATGACTTTTAAGCTGAAACAAGTGTAAACTAATTATTGTTATATAGTCATGAGGAAAAGCACACTTGTTAGCATGGCTGATAATGAAATTCAGTACTTGGGATCCATGTTATATTTTTTCCTGGCCCCTAAATTCCATGGATATCCATACGTAGACTCCTGGTAGTGCTGGGTGGTATGAGAGGATGTTTGAATCCTTGCCTGTCAGACAGGGCTGGCACTGGGAGTCAGTGAGTTAACACACAGAGCGGCCCCCGCTGTCGGCCTCTGGGGCCAGCCGCTCGCTCTCAGGCCTGGAGCTAAAAGTGGCAGGACTCGGGCCTTTCAGGTTTGTAGAGGCTGCTCTGCTCGTGTGTCCGATCCGGGAGGGCTGTGGCTGACCGGTTTGACTTTCTCCACAGTGGTTCACCCTGGATGAGGTGCCCAGAGGGAAGCTGCACTTGAAGCTGGAGTGGCTCACGCTCATGCCTGACGCGTCGAACCTCGAGCAGGTGCTGGAGGGGCCCCACAGCAGCGCACAGTCCTGGGCACTGAGATCGGTGCCTGAAACTGCGCTGCTGCTCACTTTCCAAACTCACAGCAGCGCCCTGACCCTGTGCTGTGAGTCACTGCGGTGGCGTAGGCGCAGATGAGAGCCAGCGGGAGTGTGCAGGCGTCCGCAGACTCGCGGAGGTCTCGGGTCTTGTGCTCGGGCGCCCTTCAGGGACTTGGGGAGCCTCGGGTCACCTGAGCACTTTGGTCTGAGTGGAATCTCATGTTCATTCTCTATACTGTGTATACGGGGCGCCTGTTTCTCCATCTTTGTTTTCTTGAGCAGTATAGACATAACTCGACAGAAACAGGAAGCTTGGAAGCCCACCTGCTGAGGCTTTTCCCTTTGGCTGTAGGTGCTGACAGACATCAGAGCTGACAAAGACCAAGCCAATGACGGGCTGTCCTCCTCGCTGCTCATCTTGTACTTGGACTCGGCCCGGAACCTTCCGGTAGGTGCTGGTTTCCTGGCAGCAGCCCCTGCTGGGTTTAGCCGTGTGCTCTCTGCTCGTTGCTGTGTTAGCCTGTCCCCGTGGCCCAGGGGAGCAGCGGTGGAGAGGGGCACAGGTGCGTTCCCTTCATGGACGTAGTCTTACGTCTCCATCTTACTGGCTTACCCAGGGTGGTCAGAATTAGCTGACGTGTTTCAGCGCACAGGAAAAGAATACACTTAGTAGTCAGGAAAGAAAACACCCTGTGGAGAGGTGCTAATTACTGAAATTCGTGCCTGCAGATGAAAATCAAATCCCTTTGGCATCGCCCCGGCCGTGGCACGGCGGGGTGAGGGGCCGCATGGCGGCAGGGATGCCCTGCACACAGCTTCTAGCCCCAGGCACGCACTGCTCATTGTGGCTGGCAGCATTCAGCCCTTAGAAACACTGTGGAGAACAGTTTCATAGACGGTGACCCGCGCAAGGAGAGGAGGCGGCATGCCAGCCCTGCGGTGGCGCGGCCTCCACGCTGAGGGCACTGCCTTGTCATCGGAGCTCACCGTGTCGACAGCATGTTTTAGAGCCCGTCTGCCTGTTCAACAGATGGCCTGTCTGCTCCATTTCATCGTGTTGGAGGCAGTTTTGTTGAAAGAAAGACTGCTGTCTCCAGAGACAGGGTGTTTCCTCCTGAGATGTGATAATCAGTGCCCAGTCACCTGAGAGCCCCATGCGTGCCCCCGGGTGCATCCTTGGTGTGGGTGGGTGCCTAGGTATCCCACCTGACCATGCTCACACCACCCTGTTCCTTTACCTTGTGAAATGCACACCCTAATTCTGTTCAGCACCTCTCTAGGGTTTAAATGGTACATTACTTGGGCTTTGCTCAAAAGCAAACTCGATGTATTTTGTGCATCTCTGTTTTATTTAAAATTTTTAACAATTAAAATCTGATTGATCATCTGTTTTTTTCATTTTGCAAAGATGTTAACTGAACTGTGTTTATGAATGTATATAATTGTACCCTTTCTTTCAGTGAAGATTTAACCTTTCTGCAGAATTACTTGTACGGTAGAACTTTTTATTTTTAACCACAATTTAAGTTTTAAAGCCTTTTATAATGCCTGATGGGAGTGAATTTGTTGTATATTTTAGAATAGAGGAAAGTAGTGCTGAACTGGCTTCTCTTTAGAACTGTGTGTTTTGTCACATTAAATTAAAATGGAATAATGTCACATAAGCAAGAGACAGAAAAGTGAATGTATTAACCTGCTATTAAAAGGGCACTTTGTGCATGAAGTGTGCTCTGGCCATCAGAGGCAGAGGATCTTGAGCAGACCGCCGCCCTGTGGGCCTGTTTGTACGGGAGTGTGCGGCGTCCCCACGTCTCCGTGCGGTTCTCTGACTCTGCCTGTTGCATCCTGGGTTTAGTGCTTCTGTGCCTCCATTGACCACAATCCACCATTCTTTGCTTTCTCCTCCCATTTCCACTTTCCCAAGAGTATCTACGAGGGAAACTTTGGGTGTGGCTACTTAAAAGAGAGGCGAGCGTCGGGACTAGTGTTTTGTGAAAATACTGCCTCAGTCTATAGAGCACTATTTGTGAGTTCTCAGTGTTCTTCCTTCTTGTGTTTGGTGGAGACTGCTAGAATGTGGACTGGAGATTAATGCCGTCTGCTCAGTGCCGGAATGACGTGCATGCCTTTCAGTTTTGCATGATTTCAGTTCCTGTGAGTGTTGCTTTCGTGCCTGTTTTGTGAAACGTAACTCTGCTGTAACTGACGCTGGTGACTGCATCTGGTACCGAGGTGGGCCAACCCCATGAGCCATGGAGGAGCCTTGGGCTCTGACGCCGCTCCTGGCCCTGAAAATTTTTTTTTAAAAAATCATCTGAGGAAACAGTGAAGCCATAATGATTAAAATGGATTTTCTTACGGTTCATCTCAATGTGAGATATAAATATTTCTTTGCAAGCTTTCAGAAATCTTCCTTAAATCTGCTTTCTCCTCCTGACCAGACACAAGGGGTATCAGAGCTTGGCTTTCCGTAAAGTCCCCGTGGCCCTGGGAACAGTGGGTGAGACAGAAACTCACTGCTGCCTGAAGACGTGCCTTCTCCCCCGTGTACCCGGAGCTCCTGGGGGGAAGAAGTGTATATTGACTTTGCGATTCGCTGCTTTTAAGGAGCTTCAAGAATTCCTGGGGTGGGTAGTTGAGCATTCTGACCTTTATCTGGGAAGTGGTTTTCATCCCCTGTGTTTCCTGAGTCCGTGCTCTGGAGCCCAGGTTCCTGGCACTGTTCTGGTCCTTTTAGCAGAGTTATTTTCACTTGCTTTGGGCTCAGAGAAAGCTGATGGCTTAGTCCTTAGTCTAGAAACTAATTATTGATTTAACTCAATAACTAGTAAGATTCTTAAAGCTCATTTGTTTCATTTTCATTTGTTTTCATTTTTATTTCAGCATGCATACTCAGTTTATTCTTATTTTTAAAAAGAAGGGGCGGGGAGCAAAACTGAAAGAAGTGGCATTTTGTCCCATTTGATGGATGAAGACAGTCAAGCCAAACCCCTGAAGGGTGGGTGAGCTGCTGTCTCCTCGCAGCCCCCGGCCCCTGACCAGCTGCTGGGGGGTCAGGAGGAGGCGGTTGTGCCTCTGGCTGCTGCTTCCGGTCACTCCCAGGAGTGTCCTGGTGGGGGCCTGTGCTGGAAGCTGCCGCCCGTGCCAGCTGAGCTGGCTGCACAGTTACTGTTTTCTGTAACTGCTCCTTTTATAGGAAATGCTTCTGACCTTGTGTCGGGATTTTTTAAATTGCTTTGTTATACTTAGCTAAGGTGTTGATTTACCCAAACTAACTTTCCTCCTGAGTTATCAAAACCACATACTCTGCTTGATGATTCAAATATAGGTGTCACCAAAAAGTTCTGCAAAGCGAATCTGGATAGATTGATCACTTCCCCCCTCTGGTTTTCAGTATGTTGTAGATCTGTCCCTTTGTCAGCTGTCCCCAAAGGCTGAGCCTGTTGCTATTTCCAGTGGAGGTTTTGGGTGGCTGCCAGCCCCACACTCTGGTACCTTCTACTGCTCGAAACGCTCCTCCTGTTCAGCCCCGTGAGTGTGCTTCCACCCTTGGTCCCGTCTGGAAACCTCAGCACACAGGCTTTCCTTCCGAGCTGGGAAGGGCCTCTTTATCCTGCGGCCCCAGCACTTGGACCTCCTCTGGCCAGAGGAACAAGAGGGTGTTTTCTGGCCCCCAGAGGCCTCCGTGACCACATGCATCTCCTGAGCACTTTCCAAGGGCTCTGCGTGCAGAGCTCATTGCGTCTCAGGCCAGCGGGATCCCTTCTCAGATGAGGTGCTGAGAGTAGAGACCAGGGTTGCCTCTAGGAAGCCACCGAGCCAGGATGATCTGAACTCAGCCGTGTGACCCAGAGCGCACATTCTCCACCCTCCTGTCTAGTCCATCCTCGTATAAAGTGAACTTGTTACCACTTCATTAAGTCTGAGTTCATAGTGCTGTACATGGAGTTTATCTGAGAGGGCAGTGTTTGTACTAATGTCCACTCCATCCATAGAGATGCTGGGTGTGGTGCTCCTCGGCACTCTGTTAAAAGTAATTTCAGCTCTCACTTGAAAACAGCGCAGGTGACTGTTTGTGGTGAGTCGCCCCAGTGCCAGCAGTGCAGTGATGTCCAGGGGCTTCACGTTGGGCCCCCACCGAGCTCTGTCCACCTGCTCTATCACACTCCAGGCCTGGGCAGCCTCCCATGCCCTCACGTGGCTCCTCTTGCTCACTTAACCCACACCACAGCCTCTCTCCTTGCATCACGTCAGCTGATGCACGCTGCAGTAACACGCATGCAGTAAGGTCATGTCCGTATAGAAGGAGCTAGCTGCAGGGCGGGTTCGTGATGTCTTCAGGCAGCTCTCCTCAACCTCAGGGCTGTAGCCCAGCCCGGCCCAGGGGATCTGCTGGACCCACTGTTCCAGGGTGCTTCATAAAGAATAACACTGAATTTGAAGTTAATTCCAACTCAGGTGATAAAATCTTTCATCTTAAATGTTAATCCTCAAAGGATCTTGCAAAACAACTCTATCTTGCCTTTTTGAGGGCAATAAAGTAATGAGTTTTTAAAATCAATAAAAGTAGGACATAAAACCCGTAATAATAATAATAATAGAATAGTAGAACTTTAAAGCGAGGGGGAGCTTTTGAGATGATCTGATCAGCTTCTGCATTGTATGCTTATAGAAGAGTGGGGAACGAGGTAGATCAGGTCCCATCTTTGCTGTGATTTTTTTTCCACGAGAAGATAAAGTTCAGAAGGAAGAAAGGTAGCATTTGCTGTTCCAGGATATGACTGGTTTGAGAGCAGTTGGGGTGTCTCTGGCCCATTGATTTGTACTTTAGATGAAACCTTAAGCTTAATTATGGTTGAAATTTTATGATTTTTTTTCAAGGGACAAATCCTAGGCTTTGTTCAAGCTAAGGATAGTAAACAGAACCCTTTCCTCAGGTGTCATTTTTGGATTTTTCAAATCCCAAAGACAAGAGGGATGGGAGTAAAAGAACAGTGATATAGAGGCTGATCTGTTGTGATATTTACAGAATAAAAAGGTTTAGTCTAAGAAAATCTTGGGCATAAAGAATACTTTTACAGCTAATATTTACTGTTTCTTTGTGTAATTCTTGGTGGGTTTTGTTTAAAAAAGTTTTTGTTCTCATAAGTTTTCATGTCATTAACCTTAACATAAACTCCTCATTGCATGTTTATTAACCCTTGGTATATTCATTTTCTTCTGACTTGAAAGAGTAACCCATTAGAATTTAACCCTGATGTCTTGAAGAAGGCTGCAATTCAGAAAGCTTTAAAGGTAAACTAATAGTTTTCCCTTCAAAAGTTGATGAAAACGTATTGAAAGAGATGATGCTTTAACCCGTATAGGTTTATTGACAGATTCTTCACAAAGTAATAGAGTCATAATTACTTGTTTAGTTGAAAAGAGGCTACTTTCATTGTTAAAGAATTTAGTAGTTAGAAGAATTTAGATCAACTTTGATGATAAATTTGTAAGGTATCAATGTGGTAAATTAGACTTCTGTACTGTTGGCCTTAGACAGCAGTATCTAAGGTGCTTTTAAATCATCTGTACTTTAATTCTATTTGAGTTTGTGAAATGGTGAAATAGAAGTTCTGTTCAAAATCATAACCAATTTCTAGATTATGATTAAAATGTGTGCTCAGTGCACTGTGACTTTCCATTTAAAAAATCACCTCTTCCAATATGCTGCATCAGGGCCATCTCTGAGTCGGTGACCTCGGGCTTTTGGTGCTGCTCGTTTGGGTGACAGATCTTTCGAGAAGCTTTAAATTTCATTAAATGAGGTATATTGAAAACTAAGCTCCACTTCTTAAAACAACATGAGCATGTATTTTCTGGCTAAATTAAAAATGTTTTATTATTTTTTTTCTGATTTCTTTGAGGCCTTATTGTAAGCTTAACTATTTAGGGGGATACGTGAGGAGTTCGGTGTTGTTGTTTTAATTCTGTGCAAAGGAATCAACAGTGGGTTTTGATCAGTTTCATCCAGAAGAATAAGTTAAACTTCAAAAGAGGAAGACTAGCATTCTGCTTTGATACAGGATTTAGAAAGCCCTTAGCACACCCCACTCTGAGGAGGGGAGGTGGATCTCCTTTGGAGTACTAGTCGGTTAATGGGGTAGTTCCTCAGAACGCTGGGAGGGAACATCTCCACAGCCTTGGCCCACCACTTCTTTGGTAAGGGAAGATTATTGACCCGCAGAGGGTGATGGCTAGAATGAAGGCTCTCCAGTTAGACTAGACTATCTGGGCTGCCCAGCCAGCCTCGCGTCAGTGGGCCCTGCAATAGGCAGCAGAGTCCTCCCGGCTTTGTTCCTCAGAGCAGAGGTGACGTTCTCGTCCCTGTGGGAGTGCTGAGTTTGTTAACTGAGATCGGTGCATTTAAAGTGCCCAGTGTAGCTAGCAGAATACGTATATTTTTAATTGCTATTGTGTTTTATCTTATTTAAGCCTAACAACTCGGTTCTGGAAATGGTTTTACGCCCATGAAAACTGAGGTTCAAATAAATGAAATACACGTAGATCTTAGTAATCAACCAGAGAAAAGCTAAGATTTAAATTCAAGACAGTCTGACCTTAAAAGCTCGTATTTTCATTATACCCCATGTGTCTGTCTTGTGCTCAAGCATTTTGAGTGTTGCGTCCTGATAGAAGACTTAGTCACTGATTTAACCTTGTTTCATAGCATCCAGAATATCATCCATTTCAGGACAGTCAGCCCTCGGTGTCCGCGGATTTTGTATCCATGAGTTCAACCAATCTAGGATCGAAAATACCCTGGAAAAATCTAGAGAAAGCTCCAAATAGCAGAATTTACATTGTGTTTACAGCTATTTACATAGCATTTACACACTTTATTAGGTATTATATATAATCTGGAGATGACGTAAATTATACAGAGGATAATACTAGGTCATTTTATAAGTGAAATTTGAGCATCTTTGAATTTGGCATCCTGACAGGGTCTTGGAATCAACCCCCCAGCAGATACTGAAGAATGACTCTATACCATTATTTTATATACGACTGAGAAAGAAAACATGGACTTTCCTGCTGGCCCAGTGGTAAAAACCCACTTGCCAATACAGGAGACTGTAGTTTCATTCCCTGGGTCAGGAAGATCCCCTGGAGAAGGAAATGGCAGCCCATTCCTGTATTCCTGCCTGGAAAATCCCATGGACAGAGGAGACTGGCAGGCTACAGTCCATGGGGTTGCAAATGAGTCGGACACGACTTGATAACTAGATAACAACAACAGCAAAGAAAGAAAATAAGGTGCCAGTTAAGGTTTGATAGCATTTATTTTACACTTACTGAAAGAATTTTTAGACTTAAGATAAACATTTTTTAGGATGCCATTCACACACACACAAAAGGAAAATAAAAGCAAAATAAATTGGGGAAGGCAGTGATAGCTACCATTCTGCTATAGTCTGCCCCAAAGCAGGCACTTAAAGTCATCCATTGTAAATTTCATTTTGTTTTCAGAGATGTTAGAAAGTTTAGACAAGGGACTGGGGGTATGTATTTAAATTGATAAGCTACAGTAAATAGGAATGAATGGCTACTTTTTCAGAGAGTAAGTGTATAAAGTTAGCTTCTGTATCAAAAATGCCAAAGTAGCAGTAGCTTAAGTAAGACAGAAGTGTATTTCCCTTGGATGTCACAGAATGCTGACTTGTGGCTTTGTGGTGCTCCATACCTCCAGCCAAAAGGGGCACACAGCAAAAGCAAGACCCCTAGACCATTATGGGGCCACACCTACCCGAAAGGAGATTCAGAAACAGAATCCGTGTCACACAGGATGTGTGCTCAGCTACAGCCCCAGGGCTCTCATGTTAAGGGAAGAAGAAGTGGATTCAGGGGGAAATTAGTATTCTCCCGCAGTAGTCTGTCACCTTGGTTTTTTTTTTTTTTAACAGTGTTTATTTCATTTTGCAGAATTAATTCACATCAAAAAGATGAACCAGAAACTAGATTATCACAGTAGGTTTGGGCTAGTGATATTTTATTCCAATAATCATAAATTTGACACCTCTGTCATTGCTGCAGTGTTGAGGATTGACTCTAAAATTATTTAACTTAAAAACATTTTGTGACTTTATTCTAATTAATTATCACTAACACAAATATTTAACTGCATCTTCTTGTGGGGCTAAGTTATAAATAAACCTCATATATGTTGCTTTTTACCGTGTATTCTTCTATCAGCTGTCTGTACTAAAGTATGCTTCTTACCATTTTAACTTACGCCTGAATTTTTCTCATTGCATTTGTATCTGCTTAAATGCAATTTAGATTGATAACTATTCTTCCAGTCAAAATTATTTAGCAGCTGGTAAGCAAGATTTGATGATTGCTACATGTTCAAACAGAAGATACTAAATTAAAAATGTAAAAACATGCCTCTGACACATTAGTATTTTTAAGATTCCAACCAAAAAAACTGTCCTGAATCACATGCTCTCACATTTGTCCTTCCTGTGCTGTTCTCTTTCCATTTGTTTCACTTTATTCACTTTGTTACCTGAGTTTTCAGAGCTGGAATTAACATGAAAGATTTTCAGAAGATTCCATTCTTCCAGGGTTGCTTGCTTTAAACATAAAAGACCTTAACATTTTAAAATTGTTTGCAAATACAAGTTTCATTGATTTATGTAGATACAATTATGGCTTTGGGGTGTGCTTAGCAATTAATTGTTTTCCACTTAAATTGTGTCTAGATACTCCCTGTAGCTGAAGTATCAGAAGTAAATAGAAATGACTGTTAATAGAAGCAGTAATTCCATTTTTAGTAATCCCTATTTCAAGACATGTTTATTGATTTTATCTATTTTTTCTTTTTGGATAGTCTGGGAAGAAAATAAACAGCAACCCAAATCCTCTTGTCCAAATGTCAGTTGGTCACAAGGCCCAGGAGAGCAAGGTAAGGTGGTGACTCTTGACTGGCCCCTGTGACCTTGTGGCCAGGAGGGGGAGGGTGCAGGTATGGAGACTGTTGACTTCCATGTTTTTGTTTTGTATTCTCAAATCAGTCATTTGATAATGAGCTACTTAATTTGGAATAAAATATATTCACTTAAAAATAACATGAAAAAGACATGAATATGTTAATTATGCTTTTGCTTGATTTCATGGGTAGATGACATGGGGCAAGTTTCTAAGTTTCTTTTGAATGCACTATTAATATTTTGTTTAAAAGGCAACAGTGTACTTAAAATTCAAGAAATGTGAATTGAATAGAAGACATTGCTGTTGCTGTAACAAGTGCTGCTTTCAGGAAACATTTTGGGAATTCCTCCCTTTTTTTGACTGCTAACCATTAATTTAGGAAACTTCCTGACGAGCAGCACCCCACAGCACCCCTTGCCTCACTGCCCGCCCGGCCTCGGCCTTGGTGGGCACTTTTGCCTCCTTCAGGTCCTGAGGCACAGCAGGTGACACGCTGTGGTGGGGCCAGGGCCTGGGCTGGGGGCTGCTGGCAGTCCTCTCCCGACACACGGCAGCTGGCATAGTTGACGTCTAGTAGCACAGCCCAGCTCGAGAAGGGGTAGGCTGCCCACTCCAGTGTTCTTGCCTGAAGAATCCCAGGACAGAGGAGCCTGGCGGGCTACAGTCCATGGGGTCGCAGAGAGTCGGAGACGACCGAGCACAGCACAGCCCAGAAAACAGGTGTCATCTCCGCTTCCACACACCGTGCTGGCAGCACTTGTCCTCACAGACATCTTGGACCTGATTCAGGATATTGTTTTCAGATTCGGTACAAAACCAATGAACCTGTATGGGAGGAAAATTTCACCTTCTTCATTCACAATCCCAAGCGCCAGGAGCTCGAAGTAGAGGTAATTTATTTGCATGTTTACATAGATGTGTTTATATCTCCACATCACAGAGCACGCAGAGAACTGCCACCAGGGACCCACCAACGAGACATGTTGCTGTTGCAAGTGTTAGCAGCAGGGCAGGAGGAGTTAGTTCTTAATTCTCAGCTTTTGGCTGATTGTTCCTGGTGTCTAGAACTGCAGTTGGCATTCGTATGTCGGCGTCACTGTCAGCCTTGCTGTGCGTGCTTGCTCTGTAGCTTCTCTGTGGACATCCAGGGCACTGCTGCGTGCTGGCTGCTCCCAGCCAGGGCACTTCCCTCCTCCCTTGCCTCACTGCCCGCCCGGCCTCGGCCTTGGTGGGCACTTTTGCCTCCTTCAGGTCCTGAGGCACAGCCTTCATGTTTCTCTGTTGCTAAGTCTGATGCTGGAGGAAGTTTCTTTCTACTTCTGCTGGTTTGCTGTAGGTTTTTGTCATGAGTGGATGTTGAATATTGTCAAAGACTTTTCTATGATGTTTGAGATGATCTTGTGGTTTTTCCTTTTGAAGTTTGTAAATATGGTGAAACGCAGTACTGATTTTCAAATCTTAAATTTTGTAAACCTGTATTGATTTTCAAGATTTAATATTAGAAAGCCTTGCAAGCAAACTTTTTTTGGGGAATAACCCTGCTTACTTATGATGTAGTATCCTTAAACTCAATTTAACTTGCTAAAATTGTACTAAGAATTTTTGCATCATAAATAAGAATAAAGGTGTGTTGTGCAACACAGACAAATAGAGCCATTATTTTGTAATAACTTTAAATGGAGTCTAGTCTATAAAATTACTGAATCACTTTTGTACACCTGAAAATAATGTTATAAACTATACTTCAATTTTAAGAAAAGAATAAGATGGGATAATAATTTTAAAAGATAATTTTTGCACTACAACCCAGGGATTGAACCCTTGTCTCTTGCATTCCAGAAAGATTCTTTACCCACTGAGCCACGTGGGAAGCCCACTCATAATCTTTAGTAACTGGACCTTGAATTTACAACAGTAACTTTTTTTTTAATAGTCTTTTTTTTTTCCATTTATTTTTATTAGTTGGAGGCTAATTACTTTACAACATTGCAGTGGTTTTTGTCATACATTGAAATGAATTAGCCATGGATTTACATGTATTCCCCATCCCGGTCCCCCCTCCCACCTCCCTC